ACACCGTTATATTGGTTTTAATCCTACCCCTGATTCTGACTAGCTTCATTAGAACAAATCATCTGTTTCAAAATAGTGTTCAATTCTTTTATGGCCCTTGAGTAATTAACCACATTCCTTTCATCAATCGCATTGACTGCTCCTAAGTAGGAAGTGCTAAGCGTGTTAAATTATCATTATTATTATTATAAGAATTTGCTAAACATTAATTACAGGAAAGTGTTAACTATAGAGGATGGGAAGAGGCTACCAAGTGATAATGCTGAAAATGTGCTAGTCTAATGTTATGTTAATTTAATAGCTTACATGAATTTTTTATGTATAAAAATGTCAAAAGAGAAATATTATAGTAAAAAAGAAGTTAGAAGATGATATAGTCAATTATGTTCATACTATGTTAATAGTAGATCTGAGATAAACAGGCACACAAATCAAACTAATCTAATGGTTTTGGAAGTGGATTTTTTCGTGTTAAAATTTTATATGAACTGGTTATGTAAATTTTTTATTTCTATCTCTCTCTTTCAATGCATTAAAGAGATGGGTTTCAATTATTATTAATGAATAAAGAAATATAAACAAAAATTTGAAAATAAAATTTTAACGTGAAAAAATTCATTTTCAATTATTTTAAAGCTAGCAAATACTGCTTTTTCTCCATTTGATTGCTTGCTGCTTTACAAACTAGGGTTGGCAAAACGGGCCAACCCAGCCCGACCCGACTCAACCCGCATTCAACCCGAAAAAACGAGTCGGGTTAGGGTTGGCTCGCGGGTTGGCTCAAAAATATAGCTCGTGGGTTGGCTTGAAAAAATAGCTCGTGAGTTGGCTCGAAAATTGGCTCATGGGTTGGCTCAAAAATTGCTTGCGGGTTGGCTTATTTTCAGCCTATTTAAATGACCTAGTAGTATTAATGCACCAGCTATGTGGCTTTCATTAGCTTAAACAAAGCGTTACAAAATGAGAAATAAAAGCAAAATATTTTAGTTTCAAATTTTTTCACAATAAATTTGCATCAACATCAAGAAACAATCAGAACCACTTGCTACCAAGTGGGTAAGATATTTAAACCAAACAGAGCCAGCACAGCCTAACAATATAAAATTGGTAGGGATGTGAGAAGATTCGAGACTTAGATTTAGAGAAGAAAAAAAAATGATGACAACATGTGTGAGTTTTGTCCATTTTTGTATATTATATTTTGTAATTTTTATAAAAAAAAAAAAAACTCAACCCGCGAGCTGGCTCGTTTGACCCGCAGGTTGGCTCGTTTGTTCACGGGTTGAAACGAGCCGAGTCGGCTCGGGCTACAGCTCATTTTTGCCAACCTAACCCGGCTCATTTTTGGCGGGTTACGAGCCAACCCTATTACAAACCCTTTATTTTTTGCCTTTTGATATTCCTTATTTTCTACCTCCCTGTTCATCAAATTTAGTTCTTTTCGTCGCACTTCAAATTTCAGAGAAGCATAATCAAGCTTCTCTATCGTAAAAATGAGGCGAAAATGGGGCAAATATATTGGTTTTGTCCCTTTCCTTTTTGCTATAGTGGTAATTTCATAGCTATGATTATGCCTTGTTTTATCCTATTACTGTTTACAAATCCTTAGGGGACCTTTGGTAGAGGAAATTTTTTTTATCTGGGAATCACGATTTCCAGAAATATGATGGGAAGATGAGTTTTTGAAAATGTTAACAAAAAGTTTTTCCTATTTTTAGGATTTTGAATTTTGGATCAATTTGTAATTAGTCTATAAAAGAGTACTCGAAACCCTTATTGTAGGAGTTGAATTTTGTTATTTCATAATTAAAATTGAGAGGGTTAATCTTTTATGAAATCCTAACTTTCTATTTAGCCAATTTTCTATGCATTTTCGGCATCATTTGGTATCAGAGCATTAGGTTGCCTTCAACCAATTTGGAGGTCGACGATGGCAGAATCATGAGGGTAGGGAACGTGGATTCGTTCCTAAAGAAGATAGACAATCGCGTCAGATTGACCCGCGAGACATAGAAAATGAAGAGCTAAGAAGACGGACCCAGGATTTGAAGCGACAACTTGAGCAGGCGTTGGACAAGAAAATCCAAGTTTTGGAACGACTACTTGTGCGGGCGCAAAGCAAGAAAATTCAAGATTTAGAGCGACGACTCGTGCGGGCGCATAGTGAGAAAATTCAAAATTTGAAGCGATAATTTGTAGAGGCGCAGTGCAAGAAAATCCAAGATTTGGAACGGCAACTTGCAAGAACAAAGTTGGGCATTCAATCCGAATAAGGAATGGAATTAGAGAACGCATCTGATGATGAAGAGGAGGACATCAATCCTCTGGGGATTGTAAACCATGGACGAAATTGGGGAGCATAACCTGGAAATCGGTTCACTTTTCAAGATATCGAGATGCAATTCAACATTCCTAACTTTGAAGTCTATGATCATAATCTTGTTTATGATGATTATCCAATCTATGGTGATAATCCAACTTACGATGAAAATTCAGTTTATTATGATCATCCAGTCTATGATGACCATTTTGATGGAGAATCAGATGATGAGAATCTAATAGAGGAAGAATTATTATTTGAGTTTCTACCTAAAAATTGAGATCAGTGAAGATGAAGAAGATTCGAAGACGAATCTTTTTCTAGCAAGGGATAATGATGCACTTACAGTTGGCTCATTACACATGGTTTAACCATTGATTCAAGAAACTCGGAGTCAACCAAAATTGTGCCCCAATAAATATGGCTCAATTATTAAAAGAAGCAGTAATTTGAAATATAACAAATTACGATCAAATCTAAGTCCAAATGAAGCAGTAGATATGATTATAAATTGTTTGACAAGAAAAGAAAAGCAACAGTTTTAGCATGATTTAAGATACAAGATTTGAGACGTGTTTTGAATGATTTAATTTTAATTATTTATTAATTTTTAGAAGTTATTACTATTATATTTATTTTAGGTGTTTTCCTTATTCTTAGTATTTTAGATTTTGAATTTTGAATTTTGGATCAATTTGTAATTATCTATAAAATGGTGTTTATGACCCTTATCGTGGGAGTTGAATTTTTTTATTTTGTAATTGAAATTGAGAAACGAATGGTTACTCTTTTATGAAATCTTAACTATTTAGCCACTTTTCTAAGCGTTTTCGGCATCAAATTAATTTATAAAAGTTAATTGGTTTGAAAAAAACAAAACCAGCGCAATTTAATTCAATTTAAAAAATTGAACCGAACCACAAAAATCATTATGAACGGACTACATACAAATGTATCTTCCAACTGTAATCACTCTTCTGTTATGATATGCTTTGTTTTTGTGTCCTTAACTACATTTATTCATTTGTTGATTCAGCAAGTTTCGTGGTAGTGTAAAATTTCCAATTACGTTAGCAACAATTGAAATAATTTGCCAATAGAATTTGGGAAGATCAATCTCAAATAATCGAAGAAAGTGAAAAATTAAAATTAAGTAATTTTTGTACTAATTCTTCAACGTACGAAGAAAAAGATACACAATGACGAAACAAATTTGTAAATTGGGTTAATTATCAGTATCATGAGAACACGTTTTTTGATGATGGATGTTGGGTCAATTTCAACATATTCCAGATCTCTTAACCTGGAACCTTGGGTTGCATGGGTGTATGTATCTCTGTTAATCCTTCATATTATTTTACGAGGACTGATTTTTGTTTTTGTTGAGATATATAGTCCCACATTGGTTGTATGTGCAACTAATGTGGAGTTTATAAGATCTTGGGCACTCCCACCCTTTGAGCTAGCTTTTGGGATGGTGTATCCCAAGATTTTTTACATGGTACCAGAGCCTCGCCGCCCTCCACTTTCTCTTGTGGCGAGGGAGCGTGTTGAGATATATAGTCTCATATTAGTTGTATGTGCAACTAATACAGTTTTAAAAAAAAATTCAGTATTAAATTACTTTCCTATGATTACCCAGAACAGAAATGAAAGATGACATTGTGTGTATATATAGAGGAAGTATATATAAACGGCAAGGTGAAATTGAGTGCATCCAAATATATATATATATAGGTAAAATTATTTCTGCAGCCGCTTTATGTACAGCAACGACATGTGTATGATTATGATTCCTCACATTTAATGCTTTCATCTTTTGTATGGTTATAATTCCCAGCATTTAATGCTTTCAAGTATATATTTGACAAGTATTTGATTGCTGCACGTACAACAGCTGCAAAAATGTAAACTATATATATATATATATAGAGGTAGGATCATGACACCAATGTCAAATTTAAAATTTGACACCTCATCTGAGAGAGCAGTCAGATCAAAAAAGATCAATGGTGTCACATACTTACAAATCAGAGTCGTTGATCTTTTTTAATCTAACGACTCTCAGATGAGGTATCAAATTTCAAATTTGACACTGGTGTCAAAGAATCTTGTCTCATATATATATATATATATATATATATATATATATATATATATATATATATAGGATAATCAAGTTATGTAAATAGATCTTAATTATTCATGGTGATAAAGATGAGAAAGAAAAAAAAAACCGTTGGAATAGGAAATGACAAAAGACTAGGATAGGAAACGACAAAATAATAACTTGTTGATCATGTTGAATAATATATGAGAGGATTCATTGCTATATGTCTTGCTAAATTCTGGGGTCAGCTTTGTCATTCACAAATAACCTATCAATTTGATGAATGATTAGACATAAAATCAAAATGCTCAATTTGGTCAATTTCCTGATATCATTTGAGAAGCACAAGAAACCAAACTGAATCTAAAGATATGAGTATTTCTCTATTATGTTGTAAACTTGCAGTCGTTATGTCAAGTTTTCTAAACCTTGCTATATCCCGTGTCACTATTTCTCTCATTTCAAGATTTTTACTCCACAGTTTGTTTTTTAGATTTATGTAAATTGAAGTAAACATTGAGATACGTTGTGTTACTTTAGTTCTATGTCGTGTAACGGGTTATTTATAATTGAAAGAGTTGTCAAGGCTTTCCCTAACATTGAAATGAAGTAACCTTTATTCCCCATAACCTTTTTTGTACCTAAAAAATGAAAAATGAAGCAGTATTTTGGTTTAAACCAAAATACTAGAGGCGTGACATGAGAAACATCACAGTCAAAAACTTATATTACAATTGCAATGTTACTCTCCTCACCATTCTCCTCTCAAGAATGTGTTACTCTGCTCACCACACTCCTCTCTCTAGAATGCATTTCATTCATTGTGTCTTCAGTACAAAGCCAAATGCAAGCCGCAGCCTGTTTTTGATTGAATAAGATATGTCTTAAGAGTATTCATCCTGAAAATGCAATGCAAATTTCAAAAGGTATTTGGCAGCCAAATAGAGAAACAATTATTAGAAAAAAAAAAAAAGACACTCTATATTATCTATACTAAATATTAATGACATGCTAAACTAGGACTAGGACCCAAGTAGTTAAATATGCAAATCACTAGCAGAAAGTCCAGATTTACAAAATGCACTGAGATGGTCCTAACATATTCCAGACTCTTCGTAACTCTGATTTTACTGGAAAAGTTTTTCACTTGTTCATATTATTCAGAAATTAAGCTACTCTGAGTGGACTAGTAGTGAGGGGATTGAATAGTCTACTTGAAGTCATGATTCAGATCACAATGCTACCATTGAAAAAAGTATACTTCAGAATTCAGATCTAGTATCCTGAAATTTTAATTTTATTTACCAACTCTAAATGCTAAGGCATCTTAAGTCATATTAGTTAACTAATGCATCATTATCAAATGAACTATTCCTCATCCTAAATGGTTTTATAAAGGTGGATATTATGTATAGGAAATATCTAAAGTGTTGTTGTCTATCTTCAGGTGATTGCTAAACATTACTTGGCAAATTTCAATTCAGTAAGAGTCAGTTATACACATGCCAGAAAGGTGGAGGAATGACATACAGATCATGATTGATAGGTTAAGTAACTATAGTCAACCAACAGTTGCTAGTTACAACATACTTACCAACATGTTATAGCTATAGGGACTCAGTCTGCATCTTTAATTTCAGCTTCAACATCAATTGCTCTACCAGAATCTTTTTCTGCCAATGGTACACAGCATCATCAACAAAGATTGAGAACAATAAAAAGAAGGGGGATAAGGAAGAGAGTTGCATTCAAACAAAATGTACTAGGGAGAAAGGTAACAAGCCTTGTGCAGATTACCATTTTTAGAACGGGTGAAATTATTGAATGCTTGTCCAAATGTTGTAGATTGGTTTGAAAACTTGACAGAGTCCTTAACAAACTCATTCCCAACAACTGATATCAAAATAAACTTATTCAACAGCGAGAAATATGCATGTCTGATTTTTAAAATGAAATAGTACTGAATAAAAGGACAGTGAATGATATGAAGCATTCTAACTAACATACTACTTTCAAAATACTATGTGGAAGAAAAATTGAAGTATGACAAAGATTGGTGGTGGGCATATCTATGAATCAAAAGGTGTTATCTCATGTAGAAGAAAAGGCTATCATTATCACCCAGGCAATTAAAGCTATCAGAACATCAAAAGATAATGAGATAACTTAAATGACGTATGAATTGACAGTTAGAAACATATTATCGGTTAATCAATCATAAAATACTATGTGGAAGTAACATTGAAGTATGACAAAGATTGGTGGTGGGCATATCTATGAATCAAAAGGTGTTATCTCATGTAGAAGAAAAGGCTATCATTATCACCCAGGCAATTAAAGCTATCAGAACATTAAAAGATAACGAGATAACTAAAATGACGTATGACATGGTTAAAGACAAAAAGAAAAATACAGGACAAAAAGACAAACTAAATTAAAGCTATTAGAAACATATTATCGGTTAATCAATCATCCTATTTCAGGGTTGCATGTCTTCTGCAACCTGTAGATTTTACAATATCATTTAACCAAAATACAGGACTAACTAAATTTTTTTACAAGACTGACACTTTGACATGGTTAAAGACAAAAAGAAAAATTAAATTTCAGTCGAGTGGGAAGAAATCCACAGTTGTCATTGTATAGCTGTTAACTTGTACTTCAGAAATCAGAATCATAGAGAAGAAGCAACAATCAGAGCTAATACTTCATTAAAACCAGCTAAAAGAGTTAATTATTTACAGACCAAAATCCATAAGAAGATACATAACTAACACAGGGATAGAGAAAGTAAAACTATCCTAGCATGTTTAAGTATATGGTAAAATTCAAGCATCTACGCATGAAAGTGTATGAAGCATAGCAAGTAGATTAATTAAATGAGACATCATGAACATTATATATGCAATAAATATAGCAAATGTCTGTTGAGCATGGCATCCTTTCAAGTCTCAACCTTAGTTTAGAAAGGAACTAAGAACAGTAATAGTTTTAGCAAGTAACAGTAGGTTTGAGTGTTGCTAAGAAACAAAGTCAAAACATTTGTAGAATGTACATTAATACCCTTGACTAAAAATCTGTAATAGAAATTGTGTCACTTAATTTGCTAACCACAGAGAGAAAGAGTTCAGTGTAATACTGACAGAATGCAACACGAAAAATCTATGGGCAGACCAGCAAATAAATCAACTCTTACCAGAAAAAGGTTGACCGCAGAACGGGCACAGCTGCAAATCATCATTTAGAGAGGATCTGAAACAGATAATTAGACATTATAAAGTACACGTCGCTAGTGTGAGTTAATTCAAAACAATCATCTATAAGTAGCTTAATTAGATGTGCAAACAAATCTTACTTGAAAACCTGAAAATCATTTCCACAATTCGGACACTGCATATACAAGTGATGTGTGCACGCCACACACACACAAAAAAAAAACCAGTCAATAAAGGTACAAGTCACCTTAGAATAGAGTACTTCTCTACATTCTAGGCACTCACAATAACTGGATAGCAAAAAATCAAGAAATTGATACAAAGTAATTAAAAGGCTAGTTTGATATAAAATAAGTATTTTCTCCTTAAGTTTTCTTAAAAATAAATTTCTTCACAAGTTTCCCAGTTGGGAAAAAATGACTTTTAAGTTCAAATATGGAAACATGTAAAAGCAATTAAATAATATAACTGTAAGCAACATATCCCACAAAAGTGTAAGTTAAAGAAGCAAGAAGTTTCAGAGTTAAATTTTGAAGAAGCCTCACAGTGCCTTGCATTATATCTCGTCCTGCCCACCAGAGGAAAGCACCAAGACCCACTATCGGTATTAACACTGCAAAAATCTGTATATGAAAAAGGAAAAAAGAGAAGAAAAATCAAGGCAGTCAGATAATCAAATTACATATACTAATTTTGGAGGAATGAGTTTTTAGTAGACAATTCTTTTAACAAATAATTTACATTGAATTGAACAGGAAGAACTTATATCACAATTTTTTTAAGAAATACTATCAAACAATGATGGTGTTTACACAGGTGAAAAACAAGAAATGATACAAAAGCAGGCAACAAGAGCTGATCCCCATCTCCTGAGACAGGTAGTATGGACATGTATTGTGGCAAATAATTAGTCAGGCAATTTAGACTTAGACGTTGAAAGCTATTTAACCATTTTGGTGTCAAATGTTACAGGAACCAAGGATAGTAATTACTAAAATAATCTCAAGAGCTTTTCTTTACAGATTGAGAATTCAATTCTTTTTTCTGGTTAATCACTTAGCATGTTTTATCTGCTGATGTAACACTTTCCCCTTGGTGACTGCCTATTTTAACCACAAAGGCACAGATTGCATAGAACTTTAATTTAATATTCTGGTGCTGATTGCTTAAAAAGTCTTGGAAAATTATCCTTCACCTATTCGTTATTCAATTGCCACACTGATGTGTATTGTATTTCTTACTTTTTTTTAATATTACATGAGATCTGAATTTATAACAAAAGTTCTATTAGAAGATGGGAAGAATACTGTAATCAGGAGGCCACACCAGGAGAGAGGAAGATTCTACAAGGATTGGAAAACCTATTTGGTTGGCTCTACTTCAGCCAGCCTCTGCCATGATAAGTTAAATAATAGATTAAGTAGTCTCATAGTGGTTATTCTGTTAATCTGTTATTAATCTATCTTGTTGCTTTCTTCTTCAAAGGTGGTGTACTAACTAAAATTCATGTATAGTAAAATTCTCATATATTGCATGACAATAGCAAGAGGGTGAGCCTTGACACAATGGTTAGTAATTGGTTCTATTTGCAAAAACAGCCTCTCTATTTACAATGGCGGGGAGCCTCAAGCAAAGTGAATTTGTCTTTAAAGTGAACAAGTAAAGATGCATCCACCCTAAAAATTTAGTGGGTTAAGATCATGATGCATTTTAAATTACATCAAGAGTGAATACATCATTAGTTACTCTTTTTTATAAACAAACTCACTCTAGCATAGCCTTGTCCCTCGTGCATTTTTCCTTTATGTATGATGGTAAACTAATGGCTTCTAAATAACACAAGAATTTGGGTAATAATTCCTGATTAATTATTGAACTAAAACATAAAAAGGACATGGCACCAACCATCAATAAAATCGCTTAAATATGAAGTTATGGACTAAATCACTCAGCACAGAAAGATGGAGTACTCAAAAACAAGATAGAATAGAAGTATATAGCATATATACTAAGCTGAATAAGCTAAATATGACTAATTGAAGCAAACAAAGAGAGAGAATAATACCCAAATGGATACAATAGCATCCAAAATCCAGCCAAGCTGTCCAGTCACTGAAAGATATGTTAACCCAATAGCTAAAGCAAGATTTCCCAAAATCCTAGCAGTAGCACCATCATCTCTTCCATCACCACCACCACCGTTGAAGCCAAACCCCTGATTATTCTTCACCAAAGCCACTCTCTTTTCCCTCTTGCACCCCTTCTCTTCCAACAAAACCCCATTTTTAAACACTGTACCTCCCATGTAGGACCATCTCTCCCTGTATGCTCTCAGCTTGAAGCTACTCTGATGAAAAGAAGAAAACTTTGTTTCAAACTGAGAGAAAGAGAAAACGGGTCTCTTGTATATGCCATCATAGGAGAAGTTGGGCTTCAAGTGTGAAAATTTGATGGAGAGTTGCACAAGTGTGGTCATGGGAAATGTAAGACAAAGGAAATCTAGTATAATGAACTTAGGAAATGCTTAAACATGGTCACCGGAACCTTGTAGATGATATAGTTCTGGTTCTGTCTGTCTCAAACTATCTTATGTTTCAACTCCAAGTTGTTCAATCTTCGCTTTTCCTTCACATAATCTCTTCTCGAAATCCAAGGAAGCTTTGCCACGTTGGCCTCAAGTGACCCCTCCCACCGAATAAATTTTTTATCTCACCTATGGATTTATTACACATCGTAGGAGAGTAAAGAAAATTTAAGTTCACATGTAATATTTCTATTAGTAAGATGTACGAAATCTTTGATATAACAGTAGCACTAAAAATTTATTCACTTCTACCATATTATGACTTATATACATGGGTTGGTTTTTTTAGTTAATAACTTATCTATATTGAACTCAAAATGATGTCATCTTGAGATATAAATTAAAGTATTTTTATAATTATAATTTATTTCAGGATTATAATAATATTTTAATTTTTTAAAAATGACATCATTTTGAGAGCAAATATAGATAACTTATTTAAATTCACCGTAGAAACATTAAAACTTATATATATATATATAGGTAGGATCTGTAACACCCCGTAGTACTCCGATTATTAAGATACATGATATTTAGCATACACAACAGAAGACTTTATTGGAAAAATAAATAAAGCGTCTTATAAAAATACGAGTAAACTTTTTTAAAAACATTTTTTGAAATCATTAATAAAAACGTTCACATGAGATACTGCGAAAGCGTTAATCTAAATATACATCTACTAATTAATCCCATGAGCCAGTATTAGTGGCCATTGACATCAGATTATGACATCAAGTGTCATTCCTGACGGAGTCTCACGGACAACATAACGATTGTATTTCGGATAACTGAGAACATGGTCCCACACATACAGATAACCTAATTGATACAATAATTTAAACAGATAGCTTGCAAGTCTCACACGGACTGCAATCCCCTCAATGGGTCAATACAAACAATAAGGCTCCATACCCAAATTAACTGAATACATGCATCAAGTCTATATTAATTCAAAGTATAAAAGCATCAGTAAATCATCCATGGCTCTAAAGATACAATCATGAGCCTAAATACTTACATACAGTAATCTCCATAAAATAATTAAGCATGTTAACAAGTCTACATGCCAACATCAAATCTAAACATAATATCAAATCATTAGTTGCATCATCAACTACTCTAATACGGGGGCCTTACCCCTAGAGGCATCACCACTGCTCTGGGTACCTGAAATGATGTCCCCAAACGGGGTGAGATAACAACATCTCAGCAAGCTCAAGGTTCATAGAGGATCCTAAAATGCCCTGAGCCCACTTCCTGCATGACAAGTCAGATATAAAGCATATAATACAAACATACAGCATAAACATAGCATCATCATATCATCCTTGTGTAACCCCAGGGTCAAATCCATAAAAGGTTACACCTGTGTAACTTCCAGGGTCAAGCCATAGACAGTTACACATGTGTGACTTCCAGGGTCAAGCCATAGACAGTCAACACAACCTCTGTATGATACAGCCCCCAGAGTCAAGTCATAGGCAGCCTACATACCATAAACACTAGCCAGGATCCTCATAACATATATCATCAGTGCATCATCATAACATCAAGATCATATAACATCTATATGAATGTGAATGAATGCACATATACATCATACCATATACTTTCATAAAATATAACCATAATGCCCACCATCATGGTGGGGCCACAAGAGAGAGGAGTCAACTAGAACTAGGAGCTTACCTCACTGAGCTTATCAACAACCCAACTCCAACAGTCAATACGTATGCTCCCATACACTCTCAAGTGCCAAGTTCTCTAGGCAAACCTAGAGCAGGAATCATTTACATTATTAATACTCAATCACTTAATGATTCCACATTACATTCTTATATGCCAATAATATGCCCATCACAAGTCTAGACCAATTATTACTTATTATTTATTTTTGTGCATTATTATAAGCCACCACATTATTTAATTACTTACATAACTTAGAATCCTCTTCTAGGCTCACTTAGGTAACTTAGATTATTTTCAACTCATCCAAGTCATATAATTAATTATTATAAGTTACTAAGGGTTCCTATAAGCCCACTTAGCTTAAATATCACTTTTACGGTTTTCCCATAACTGTACATGCTTCTGTTTTTCAGTCACTGAGCGCAACTCACTTGTTATAAAATTCTCATCTTTTATTATGTTAATCTAGACTCAATTAAATTTCCAACAAGGTATCACATGCTTCATTTGGAGTTTCCCAGCTCCAGTTATCATCATTTGAAGTTGGACAAACAAAACTGTTTGCCAACTCTCAACAGAGCCCTAAACATCTTTTACCATTTCTGCAATTCTAGAAAATTTACTAGACCAATTGCTATAAAATTTTTATACAGACAACTAGACATCTTTATCTTTAATTAAACATATTATGAGCTAAATTTGAGTAAGAATTGAGGGAGAAACAATTCGTGGAAGTTGCAGCCATGTACAGCCCCTGCACATGGCCTCCCTATGCAGACCTAACTCAAACGGACATACAGAATGGAATACATATTCAATTTATACCAAATTTTGACACCGCATAGCTAACATCTCAAGCTTCAATTTGATATAAGGAACAGCCTTATATGACCTTTGTGGAGGGAGATATGCTCTCCCCAATTTAGCCTAAAAATTGGTTATTTAGCCCTAAATGTGTTTACTTAACAAACCTTAATTACTTTTGATTATAAATCCTAATTCACTTTAATTTTTGGAGTTTTCTATTATTAATTCACTTTAAGAAATTCCCTTAGTCACATTATGTCATGATATCTAAAGTTCACTAATTGCTTGATTAGTGCACCTAAACCCTACTTAAGTCTAATCTTAGAGTTTAATCATTAATTAATGTATTATGCATAATCCACTTCACTTAACCACTAAATTAATGTCCTAATTAGGTCTTAAACCAAAATTTAACATACTAACCCTAATTGATCCTTAGGTGGCCAAATTGTTTAGGTTATACAAACTAGGTTTTTAACTTGTTAACTTTACCATTTCTTTAGTTAATTAAGTCCTACACTTAATTAGTCAACTAATCCATCATTTCATTAAATTTTAAACATAAAACCCTAATTATACTATTTAGGACATATTTGGTATAATATAATCATTAGAGTTTAAATCCATTCCTTAATCAAGATTAGCATTTTTAAGCTTAAAGGTTGTATTTTTAACAACCTCAAGAACCAATTTTTATCAATTAAACATATTAACCCCCTTAAGAACTCATGATGACTGAATTGTTTAGGTGGTGTGTAACACCTCGTGTATACCCGGTTTGTTAACATATCATCATATTAAACTGCGCTTAATTAAAAACGTAGAATATCTTTTTTTTTTCAATTATGACATCATTATACTTAGCCAAGTTGATTAGTTAATCAATTTCATAAAATATTGCATGTATGTAAATTGCAATAAGACATCTAACTGAAATACCTCAAAATATAGATATAAATGTGAGTATCTAAGTCACGGAATTACAACGCATAATTCGGACAATATCCTGATACATTATTACAACTCCAAATAAAACAAAACATAATCAAGTCTTAAGGCTCACACAAAGCCACAAGCCCTTAATCACTTGATTCTGACTTAGTTCAATTAAAACAGAAGTTCAACTTCATCAATCTAGGGTCCACAAACCCCCAATAGCCTACTGTATGAACAGTGCAGCTACTGTTCTTCGAAATCCCAGAATATCCGGATATTCGTCGGGGGCATATCCGGATATCAATATCCGGATATCTCTCTTCCATTATCCGGATATCCATATCCGGATATTCAGATCCCCATATCCGGATATCAATATCCGGATACCCATATCCGGATATCGATATCCGGATATTCACAACGAAATATCCAGATATTCCGCGACAAAACCCAGATTCTGCATTTCGCGAAAATCTAAACCAAAGGTTCCATTTTTAACACTTCCAGAAGCTTAAACATGCACCTTATGGTCCATTTAGGTTCATATGACAATTGGTTACTTGCTTAACTCATTTACATGCAAAGACACCTCTTGTAAGCATTAAAACTTAAGATCAAAGGTGGAACAACTCACCCAAGGCTCAAAACAGAAGCAAAGGTTGCTCTTGGAGCTCACCAAACCACTTTACTAGTACTGCCTTGAACAGAAAATGAAAATGGCTAGCAAGACTTGGTTTTTCCTTCACAAGGATGTCCACTTGGAGCTTCTACAACCAAGGAAAGGCTCCAACAACTCAAGACAAGGAAACTCAGCCCACCCCTCACTAAAAACAGTGGCTGGAAGTCAGCAATGGGGTACTCCTCTCCCTCACAAAGTCACACTCACACCCACTCAAGTGTTTAGGATGATGAAACCAAGAAAAATAAGGGAGAAATGGCCCCTAGACTCTCAAGGAGGAAGAAGGCAGCAATGAAACAGTGCAAGGGTGCACTCAGCCGCATAAGTCACATAGGAGTAGTGGTTCTAGGGTTTTGTGCCCAATAATGAGTGTATATATAGCCACTTAATCAGAAAACACACAGTATTAACTTTAATTGCTACGCTTAGCATTTTAATCCCAAACTTTGGATTCTTAACCTACTCAATTTTACAAGAATTATCATGTTTTTCTTATATTTTTCGGAGCACCTTTCCGGTACGCGCTTTTCATAGCCAGTATCAGTTTCTAGCACTAGTTCTCATTATTTTAACTTGAAACTCGTTTTACAAGTCCTATATATTATTCTAGGAATTATCATGCACTTATTATAATTTTTCGGGATACTTTTTCGGTACGCACTTATACCGACTAGCAGCACTGGTATCTGCACTTTTCTTCCGAAAAGCGACTTTCAGCATTCTTAATCACTTATCATACTTAATTAAGCCTCATAATAATTATTAGGGTCAATTATGGAATTATTTCCTAATTCTCATATATAATTAGTTAATTTCCTTAATTAACGGTGCAGGTTCTTACATTCACCCCACCTTTTTAGGATTTTGTCCTCAAAATCAGAAACATACCTGTCTCGAAACTCGGGGTACTGCCGGAGAAGCT